TAGGTCCTGTTCTATTTAATCTATATGTAAATGATATAACTAAATGTTTGTTGGGTAAGGTATGTTTTTTGCTGATGACACAAAGGTGTGTAATAGGGTTGATATCCCTGGAGGTGTTTGTAACATGGAATATAGTTTGGTATTGCTGGAAGATTGGTCAAAAAAGTGAAAATTGCAGTTCAGTGTTTCTAAATGTAAAAAAGGGAAAAAGAATCACTTGAGAGAGTACAACATTGGGGGTACATTGTTGGCTAGCACTACGAAGGAAAAGGATTTGGAGGTACTTGTTTCAGTGTTTCAGATGATTGCAAAATGAGCAAACCGTGTGGCCAGGCAATAGGGAAAGCAAATATAATTCTAAGATGCATCACTAGAGGGGTTACCAGAAGGAGGAAGGAGGTCCTTATTCGACCAAATATAGATCTTTAGTTAGTCCTCGTTTAGAATACTGTGTCCAGTTCTGAAAACCTCACTTACAAAAAGATATTGATGAGATAGGAGGAGTCCAGAAACGGGTAACACAAATGGAGAAAAGTCTGGGAGATAAAACATATCAAGAGCGACTTCAGGAACTTAACATGTACAGTCTGGAGGAAAAAAGGAAAAGAGGAGACATGACTGAAACCTTTAAATACATCAAAGGGTGAATGAGGTTCAGGAGGGCAGTATTTTCAACAGGAAATCAAAATCAAGAACACGGGGACATGACCTTCAACTAACTGGAGCAAAGTTAAAAAACAATCTCAGAAAGTATTATTTTATTGAAAGAGTAGTTGATTCTTGGAATAAACTTCCAGCAGAAGTAGTGAGCCAGTCAACAGTAAATAGTGTCAACCATGCTTGGGACAAGCATAGATCTATAGTTAACAGGAAGAAAAAACCCACCACCCTCAAAAAAAATAAAACAAAAAGGGCAGACTTGATGGACCACTTGGTCTTTTCCTGCCGTCACTTTTCTATGTTGCTATGTTTCTCTGTTCCTATGAGTACTCTGTCCCATACGGCCTAAGGCAGGGGTTAACACCATATTAAAATCCCCCATCCATAGTGCTGTGATCGTGGGATATTAGGACATAAAGGCTAAGCCCTTAATAACCACCACTGAACTGTATGGAGGAGAGATATAGCATGGCAGGATCAGGATGGGTGAACCACTAATGGCATCATACATAAATATATATCTACCCTGCTGATCTGACTGTAGCATTATTATCTCAAAAGAGACAGTTTTTGCAATAAGAATAGAGATGCACCTGGAGTACTGAGTGTGCGTTGCATGGTAGGCCTAATTAACCCAGGGGCGTATCAGTACTAGCTGTATGTGACCTGTAATATGTGTTTCAACCAGGGCAATAACATCAGCCCTCTGGGACTTAAGAAATGCAAAGATAACAGAGTGTTTCATTTTGTCTCTCATTCCCCTGACATTCTAGGTGAGGAACTTTAGAGGTGCCATGAGCTGAGGAAATTCCATCTGTGGGGTGACAGGAGTTGTCAGATCAGCAGGGTAAGCCCGAGAGGGATTACCGCCCCTTTCACCTGCTACATCTGACTCTGCTCTCCAAGCTTCATTTTTTGACGCACAGACACATCCTGGAGTCTATTTCCTGATCCTATAGGCATAGCTTGCTGCTGGACGGCTGGATGTCCCACCTGGATCCAATTACCACACAATGAGTCTTTTTAACTCATGAGTATTCTCCTTGCAAACATTCTGTCAGTTGTGCTTTTCTACTCCAAGCCTCCGGACCAGGGGTGGACTGACAACTCATGGGGCCCACGGGCAGTAGGGGATCATGGGGCCCCTGTGTCCTTGCCCAAACTCAAAAAAGCCTATGAAAAAGGTACCAGGGGCATCTTATGGGGCCCCCTACTGACCCACATCTTATGGGGCCCCCTACTGACCCCGGGCCCTCAGGCAGTGCCCGAGTTTCCAAATGGTCAGTCTTTGGACACATTGAAAAAATGCTTCTGGGAACCCTGAATTTCATAAGGACGAGGTTGGCACACAGGAAAAATGATTTGCCCTTCTAATCCACCTGACTACTGTTCAAAGGCCAGGAAATGCATGACTTCCTATTACTTGTTATTACCCTCCTAGATTGTAAGCTCGTAAGAGTAGGGCCCTCTTACCCCTCGTACGCTGTCTGTCTTTGTTGTATTGTGCCATGTATTGTCCCCCCCCTGCTATATAAACTCGTAGTAATAATAATAATACTGTATAACAGTAAATGACTGAAATAAATCGCCATTTTTCTCAAATGTAAATTACTTGATTTAGGGTTGAACTCATCTCATTTCTATTCTGTATCTAAAAAAAGTTTAATAAAAATCCACATTTTAAAAAAAAAAGTTTCAGTTTTAATTGTAATTCAATTCTAGATTGTAAGCTGGAAAGAGCAGGGCCCTCGATCCCCTCATGTTTTGCATTGTATTGGTATTGTTCTGTCACATGTTCTGTCCCCCTTTGTAATGTACAGCGCTGAGCGAACTATTGGCACTTTATAAATACTGTATAATAATAATAATAATTCATCATTTTTGACACATTGCTGAACATGATGCACTCTAATTTATAGCCACTAGGTGGCACCATTGGAGTAATATTAAAGAGTGTACTTTCAGAAATGCTGGTCCCTTACTTGTGAACTTGATTCATCAGTGCAGCTTGGAGTGCCTTGGCACTACCGACAGTAACCCCTACAAACCATTGAAGAGAACTGGTCATGACTAAACGTAATATTTTGTCTTCTTTGGTGATTGGTGCCTATACCACAACCGATGTTAAATGCTCGCTCTTACAGCTTCATATATTCTGCTTGATAATGATGCCGGGCCCTGGAAGGAAGATAGAAGGAGTATCTGAAGTCAGAGAGTCGCTGCTCTGTTAGCTGCCCAGCCCCATGCTAACGACACTTCTGACAAATGTACGCAGCGTGTTATTTTTGACAGTGCCGTTGTTAAAGTGTACAAAAAAGTTTGGGCCAACCGGGTGCCACATTCACAAAATTCAAACAGTGCATAAGAAAAAAAATGACACAAATTTAAAATATTAGAACTTTTTATTGATATCAATGTATAAAACAGAGTAGATGGCCATAAAACAATCACAATTTAGTGCAACAATTTTGTGCATGTATGTAAATCCCGTTTAACATATAACATATTAACCACTTGCCCTCCTGAGGATTTACCCCCCCCCCCTTCCTGACCACACCATGTTTTGCGTTACGGCGCTGCATTACTCTGACAATTGTGTGGTAATGCAACGCTGCACCTGAAATAAATTTACATCTTTTTCCCCACGAATTGCGCTTTCTTTCGGTGGTATTTGATCGCCTGTGTGGTTTTTTATTTTTGCGCTATAAAAAAAAAGACCGACAATTTTGAGAAAAAAAAACAATATTTTGGACTTTTTGCTATTAAACATGTCCAGTAAAAACATTTTAAAAATCTAATTTTGTCATAAATTTAGGCCAAAATGTATTCCGCGACATGTCTTTGCTAAAAAGAAACCCCCAATACGTGTAAATGAATGGGGTTACGTGAACGTTATAGCGTTTACAAATGGCGGTATATATACTTGGCTTTTTTTTTTTACTAGTAATGGCGGCAATCAACGACTTATAGCAGGACTGCGGCGGGCATTCTGACACTGGGAAAAATGATTTGGTGTCACTAACATCCCCAGTGACACCAATACAGTGATCAGTGCTAATAAAAAGCACCAACACTGTACTAATGGCACTGGGCATGAAGGGGTTAACAAAAGGTTAACTGTGCTGTGTGCCTGTGTTTGTGCTTCACTGAAAGCACACTGCTTTCTATGGCTGTACTGTGCACAGCCATGCAAAGCAGTGTGCAGGAGCAGACAGGGGGGAGAACTGTTTTGCTTACTAACAGTCCTCCCCCCCGTCGGAGATCCTCGACAATCACCGGGTGCCAGCGAGTATTCACTGGCCGGGACCCGGTGATTGACAGCCGCGAATGGCGGTGCACGCCTGGACACAGAGTGGCCCTGGTTGTAGCTGTTCACACACGCCTGTGATACCAACTACAAGAATCCACTGAATGCACATAATCTCCTTTGTCAGTGGTCTCCAAACTGTGGCCCGGGTGCTGGATGCAGCACTTTCCATGCCTTTACCTGGCCCTCAGGGTTCCATTCCACCCATTGATACCAAAAGTGGGGCTCTGCCACTTTCCCTAATACCAAGGATGGGGCACTTGTTACTACCACTAACACCAGGACAATTTATACTCCCACTGGCAACGGTCTGCCCCCCCCCCCCCCAGCCTGAGGGACAGTAAAGTGATCCTTTGTTTAACCGCCTCTTGCCCTCCGTATTTGGGAAATGGCGGATATGCAGGAGCTCTCTTGTTCTGGGAGGACATCATATTACAACCTCTCACTCTAGCTGCGCATGCACACCCCTGGGGGCGCGCTGAGCGATGCTGGGTGGTGCCCTGTGCTGCGATAAAGAGCCGGTGACGTAGGCTCTTTACCATGTGATCAGTTGTGTCCAATCATAGCTGATCACATGTAAACTGCAAATGCTGGTTATCAGCAGTCCTCTTCTCACGCTGACAGCATGAGGAAAGGATAGCCGATAAGCGGTAGTCCACACAGGGAACATCTACACTGATAATCAGGGCACTGATCATCAGTGCAGCCCCATCAGTGCCCATCAAGGCTGCCCTTCAGTGCCCATCAGTGCTGCCTATCAGTGCCCATTAGTGATAGCTGTCAATGCCTATCAGGGCCGCCTCATCAGTGCTTCCTCATCACTGTCCATAATTTCCACCTATTAGTGCCGCCTACCAGTGCACCTATCAGTGCCCATCAAGGCTGCCCTTCATTGCCCATCAGTGCTGAATATCAGTGCCCATCAGTGCTGCCTATCATGCTTCCTCATCACTGTCCATAATTTCTACCTATTAGTGCTGCCTACCAGTGCACCTATCAGTGCCCATCAGTGCCACATATCAGTACCCATCAGTGCTGCCTATCAGTGCCCATCAGTGCTGCCTATCAGTGCCCATCAGTGCTGCCTATCAGTGCCCATTAGTGATGCCTGTCAATGCCTATCAGGGCCGCCTATAAGTGCTTCCTCATCACTGTCCATAAATTTCTACCTATTAGTGCCGCCTATCAGTGCACCTATCAGTGCCCATCAGTGCCACATATCAGTACCCATCAGTGATGCCTGTCAATATCCATCAGTGATGCCTGCCAGTGCCCATCAGTGCTGCCTATCAGTGCCATCTATCAGTGCATTAGTGCACTTATTTACAAAATGATATAAGAAAAAAATGTCCCCCAAATTTTCACTCTTTTTGCATTTGTTTAGTGAAAAATAAAAACCAGAGGTGATTAAATACCACCAAAAGAAAGTTCTATATCTCAAAAAAAAAATTATAAAAATGTCATATGGGTACAGTGTTGCATGACCGCGCAATTGTCATTCAGAGTGTGACAGCACTGAAAGCTGACATTGGCCTGGGCAGGAAGGGGGTGAAAGTGCCCGGTAGGAAAGTGGTTACAAATTTGGAGACCTCTGTCCTATGTGAAGGAGGCCTAACAAAGAAAGTTTCATCTTTCAGATATATTTCTAGTGCCAGTTTTAAAGTGAAATAAGCCACCCCAAAAAACATTTCAGCTACCCCCAGTTTTTGGCTGCAAAACCTGATACTTTATTATCCTATAAACTGTTCTCCCAGGAAGATATTTGTGCCAACAACATAGGGAACAGCAAAATGGCGCCATCACTTGTGTATAATACAATGTTCCTTCACTGCCCAAAAACATTCCACACTCTTGCCTGCTAGGAGTCGGTAGATGTCCTCCCCAATCTCTGAGCAATCTGCTGCTGTGGATTGCTTATGTAACATATGCCTAATGGTGGTCACAGGCACCTCGATCAATTCAATGTATTTTCTGATCGATCTTTTCCAATAGGAATACTCAATTTATAACTGACAATTCACTTTATTAATATGTCACACACTGGAAAGTGGATTATGATTGATACACTGGAAAGTGGATTATGATTGGCACACTGGAAAGTGGATTATGATTGACACACTGGAAAGTGGATTATGATTGATACACTGGAAAGTGGATTATGATTCACACACTGGAAAGTGGATTATGATTCACACACTGGAAAGTGGATTATGATTCACACACTGGAAAGTGGATCATGATTCACACACTGGAAAGTGGATTATGATTGACACACTGGAAAGTGGATCATGATTCACACACTGGAAAGTGGATCATGATTGACACACTGGAAAGTGGATTATGATTCACACACTGGAAAGTGGATTATGATTGACACACTGGAAAGTGGATTATGATTCACACACTGGAAAGTGGATTATGATTCACACACTGGAAAGTGGATTATGATTGACAGTTAAAATACTATCATAACTTAAATGATCAATCTCATCTCTGTTTCATACATGTAATCTCCTACATTGATCAAACCACGATTGTATTCATGAACAAAGTACTGCTAATCACAGCAAACCGACATCATTTTCTGCCCCTGGGCGATCAACCTAGTTTGACGGGCTTTAGACTTAATCAAGTCAAAACTGTTCAGAAGGGAAGTTGTGATTATTCAACTGTTTGCGGATTCCAGCACTTTGATTGATTGGATAAAAAAAAAAATGACTGTGTGTATGGCCAACATAAGGCAGATTTGCCATCGCATCCTATCCAAGGATGGGATCACAATATCATAGTACTGTAAAAAAAAGAAAAAAAAAAACACACAATTTTACATCTTATCCATTAACTGCTTGACATTTGACTTTATCATTTCAGTTATTTTTCAAACACTTGTTAATGCTGTTATAAGATTTGTCCACTAGAGGGAACCATTTTACCACTTCAGTATATTGGAACCATAAGAGCTGACATTTTCATATTGTGGATTGGATTGTAACTGTTAGACGGTGGCCAATCTGGCAGATGTAATGGGCTTGCAGTAGTTGTAACTACCAGATCACCAAGGATTCAGTCACCAACCTCTGCCATGCACAGATAGGTGACTGCCTATGACATTGCAGATCAATCCTATCCCTTTACCTGAGCCTGATATAAAGTGCTATGACTCTTTATATTCTCTGTAAGCTTCATTAATGACAGAGATGATCATCAAAAAATCTGAAAAAATATAAACAGTGAAGTTTTTTTTACAATCTGTGTGCTCTTTGGCATCCTAACTCGAAAGGTTTTATAATTACAGCTAAAATAATTTATATGTGTGGCCTATTGGGGTAAAGTTGTGTTTGATGGTAATGACATTTCCGTAGTGTATAATGAGCATAGTGCACCACCCAGTAACAATGTGTTTTAGCATCGGTGGGGATATTTGTATATTTTAACATGGGATCTTTTCATGCTTCATGCTGCAGGAGCACCAAAATAGATTCTCACACTATATTATTATTATTATTATTATTATTATACAGTATTTTTAAAGCGCCAATAGTTCGCTCAGCGCTGTACATTACAAAGGGGGACAGAACATGCGACAGTACAGTAACAATATTATGTGATACACGAGGGGTTCGAGGGCCCTGATCCTTGGAGCTTACAATCTAGGAGGGAGGGGATGGTGGTACAGGAGGAGATAGCTGTGGGGGATGGAGTGGTAAGAAGAGTGGAGGAGATCGGCAATTAGCAGGGGGTGGGGTAGGCTTCCCTGAAGAGGTGGGTTTTCAGGGTGCGCCTAAAGGAGAGGAGAGTAGGTGATAGTCTGATGGGTTGGGGCAGGGAGTTCCAGAGGATGGGTGACACCCTGGAGAAGTCCTGGAGGCGGGCATGGGAGGAGGAGACCAGGGAACTAGAGAGAAGGAGGTCTTGTGAGGAGCGGAGTGTGCGTGTTGGGTGGTACTTGGATATTAGGTCAGTGATGTAGTTCGGGGCAGTATGGTGGACGGCTTTGTACGTCAGTGTTAGGATTTTGAATTTGATCCGTTGCGCAATCGAAAGCCAGTGGAGGGATTGGCAGAGGGGGGTGGAGGACACTGAGTGGAGGCCAGTGGAGGGATTGGCAGAGGGAGGTGGAGGACACTGAGTGGAGGCCAGTGGAGGGATTGGCAGAGGGGGGTGGAGGACACTGAGTGGAGGCCAGTGGAGGGATTGGCAGAGGGGGGTGGCGGAAACGGAGCAGTTGGTAAGGTGAATGAGTCTGGCTGCCGTATTCAGGATCCACTGAAACGGGGATAGCCAGCGGCGAGGCAGGCCAGTGAGGAGGGAGTTGCAGTAGTCGAGTCGTGATATGATGAGGGAGTGGATGAGCTGTTTAGTGGTTTCTGGGGTTAGGAACGTGCGGATTTTGGCGATGTTGCGGAGGTGGAGTCTGCATGTTGCGGAGGTGGAGTCTGCATGAGTTTGTTAAAGATTGGACTTGGGGCTGGAAGGATAGGTTGGAGTCCAGAATGACACCAAGTACACTGGCCTGCGGAGCGGGCCTGATAGTGGCATTGTTGGACGTGATGGAGAAGTCAATGGGGGGTGGGGCGGGCTGGGGGGAAGACTAGGAGCTCGGTTTTGGAGAGGTTCAGTTTAAGGAAGTGGAGCGTCATGCAGTCTGATGTGTCGTTCAATAGGTTTGTGATTCGGGCGGAGACTGAGGGGGTGAGGCGGGGGGTTATATAAAGTTTCACACTTGTATGTAGCCCTGTTGCCTATGTGTAACATAGCTAGATGCTGCCCCAAACAGGAGGGTTAGGCTTAACTGTGTCCTGGGCTTTGTCTTGGCCACTGCTGGGGTTCCCTGTTATGCTGAAGCCGGAGTACTCACTCAAGATATCCTGCTGTCAGAAGTTTTCCAGTATTTAGGGGGACTACTGAGACTCGTAGTCCGCCCTGAAGATGCCAAACTTGGGTTATGCCATAAAGGACTGCCATGTACCTGGCAGAAGTCTGAATTGACAAGGTTGGCTTCTCTTGCATCTCCAGCCCAAGCCCCACTGAAGGTGGAACAGATGGTGCCGAGGGATAGGAGGATTGCAGACGTTGATTACAAAACTTGTGGCTGGAGGTGTAAACTCGCTAAATCAAGCAGGGCATCCAGTCAGGAACAGAGGAGATGCAGGAACGACCATCTAAGGTTAAAGGAGCACTCCACCGGAGCTGCAAGATCTGGATACGTGGTTTGCTGGAACTTCTAACAAACACGAGGCTGGGACACACTGTGACAACTGGAGCTGATATAATAGATAGCCAGGGCAAGCACTTGCTAGGACTGTAGAGCCCAACTGGAGCCAGAAGCATAATAAGAGTGATAGCCAGGGTCAGCAACAAGCAGGCGATGAGGTTCCAGAACATCAGACAGGGACGAGGTCAGGAGGAAGCCAGGATCACAAACCGATGAGCAGAAGCATAAACAGGATCCAAGAGCAGGTCAATAGCAAGCCGGGTCAGTAACAGAAAACACAGAGAATACAGCAGGACACAAGGAAATAGCTGAAGACCAGTCAGCACTGACAGAGAGTAGGAGCCTCCTTTAAATAGTCCGTCTGGTGCCAAAAACTGTGGGAATGCTCCCGTGTGCGTGCACCCGTGTGCAAGCATACGTTTGCACATGCACAAGCCTATGCTCATTCTTTTTAGCAATGCGCCTGTGCTAATTTCTATGCGTGATGTTACGCTCATGCGTATTTCTATGCACCAGTTGCCGTTTACGAATTCCCTTACATGGACACTGCCATGCATGCAGGGGCGTATTTGCCGCAAGGCAAACTAGGCATTTGCCTAGGGCAGCACTCTTCAGGGGGGGGCGTACGGCGGAAGTGCTGCCCCCCCCTTTCCCATGGAAGGGACATTTCCGTGGGAAAGGGACAGGGGCAGGGCCTGCCATGGCTGAGGGACCGGCTGCAGAGGAGAGCGGAGTGGTGGGCAGATCCCCGGTGTGCGCTCGGAGCGCGTGAGGGGCGGGGCCCACTGTCAGTGTGCCGGGATCTGCAGGAAGGCCAGAAGGCGCCAGCGAAGGAGGAAGCAGAAGAGGACGAGGTCAGGGGGGTGGAGCCAGCCACCGCCGG